GCGACACTGTTCTGCTAAGTATTCAACATAATTCTAAGATGTTTCGCACAGTGTAGTATTGCATTTCACTTAAGCATCCTGTTTGGTCATTTTGCCTTTCCGATGTGCAGAAGACAATTGTATTGAACAGTCAGAATCGACGACCGAACTGTAGAGTTTAGTTTTCTTAAACTGCTTGTAACATGTCTTTTAGGCATATTTCAGCATTTAATAGTTTCTTGTCTCTGATCTCACAGGGCCATGAAGATAAGAAACAACTTGTTTCACAACAGAACCAACAGTACTTGAGGCCTATTCTAAGTATTGGTTCTCCAGGAAAGCCCTTAACAGACAGGCAGCCGCGCTACACGTCCCTTATCGTACAAAACCTTTAACGAAACGTCCCCATCATCTCCGTTTAGTTTTACTGCTATATTCTGAATTATTGACTATGTAGGGAAGGTTACGCCGGCTTTATTTCGAGTTCCAAGACAGAACGATTTCTTTCGCATAGTCAACCTCTCAGACTAAGCGGCCATCTAGGATTCGGATTTTGTGGCCAGGGCAGGCCATACTATTTAAGTAGAGGCTGCAACTCAGGCGAAGTAGCCTTTTCTAACGTCTGCGTTGATGGCGAAACGTTGGCTTACCTCATCATACATCAAACTTTTTTCCCCAGTGTGATGGTCATGTACCTTGATAAAATTCCGAATTTGCGTAGACACAACATCATACCGTATTTGCATAATCTGTCTCATCGTTGTCGCCTTCTTCCTTTGTCTCTGAATCCCCAAACGTGGGCCGGTTTCTTAGAGAGATATTTGTGCGGATTGTTATGGAAAAGTTGTCTCTAACTGCAGCATTTCACCTTTGCTCTTCTTGTTGATAGGGCGCCCTAGTCTGTTGAACGCCAGCGCACCTGCGACACACGTGGATGGGAGCTCGACCACTGCGTCCACCCCCATCTCCAATTGTTGTAACTTCGTCTTGCCATCTAGATTTTCGTAAGTAGGGAAGAGAGGATAAGGTAAAGGCTTTAAAACCCCTCCTACTCAGTATGCAAATTAGCTCTACGGCCCTCGAAACAGCGTTTGTCCCGCAATCACGGCCGATTAACAACCACTCAGAACCTTGATTGCCAATTGTTTCATGACCTAGCATCTCGATTTGACGGCATAGAGCGCATGTCAGGTGTGCGTATTTTCAGACATCTTTTTACCCCCGACACATCTTTCTGGACCCTTCGGGAGGTCTCCTCTGTACCCAGTTAACCGATTGCAGACTGCTCGATCTTCAGTTACGCTTTCATCAATAACACCCATGGAGAGACTGCCTGACCGCGTCTGAAACTTAGGCTGGAATTGTGCCCAACTGCTTGTCTGACCTTTGTTGAATGGGCCTGTAGGCTACGTTTTTTAGCGTCCCAGCCACCGTAAGGATTTAAAAATGCCACTTAACTCCCTTCAAGTTCACTTTATTTTTGCGGTTTGAATACAAAAATACTCAGATTCTAACCATAATTTACGTTTTAAACCTATCTACTGCGCCGTTTTGAATTAGAGAATTTAGAAACTTTTTCTATGAATCATTGCTTTCCTGATCCGAACTGGAGGGCCGAGAAGAAAGATAAACCCGCTGTCTTCGAACATTTAAAATAGAAGTCCTCCTGTTAATAAGTGCGCTCTAATCTGCAGCGAACTTTGCTCACAATTAACAGCCAAAAGCATTACTGCTTTCCTCGGCAAATAACCTATATTTCAAGGTGTGCATCGGTAGAGAAAAGCAGGATTAGAATGGTTGCCGTTTGTTTATTAAGAAGTCAAGTTTAGCAAACATATGCTTTCAGCAAATCATCATCAGGCCAAAACATGTGCAGGATAATGGAAACTGTACAGTTGGATAGGGTTATATAGTTTAGTCTAATTACGATTCATCGTTTACGCGTCGCCCCATGGCGAGGTCGGCGTGTAGAGGTTCTTGTGTTGGGGGAGGGGGGACGAGTAGGGGAGGTAATTGGGTTAGGTTGTGGGGGTTGATCAGTAAGCAGATACGTGGAGGGATAATTGCTGGTATTT